ACTCTGATGACCCTGTGTATCATCCTTGTTTAATAGGTGAAAAACAAGGGTAAAACGATGCATGAAGGCAGAGTTGGATATCGTTTCTGAATACAGCCCTAATGGTATCGATACTAGTAAAAATTCCGATGAAAAAAGTAACTTAAAAGTAACTTAAAGTTACTTTTTCAGTAACTGTAATTGTAACGAATTACTTTTCAGAGTGAATAACTTGTAACGGTAATTAATTACTTTTTGAAACAGAAAAACTGTAACTGTAATTAATTACTTTTACAAAGTAACTTTCCCATCCCTGAATATAATAGAATCAAAAAAGACAGATAAAGTAACATGGAAAGATAAAAATGACACTTGGAAAACAGTCGCAAATGAATTCAATGCTGTAGCACCAAATGAGACTTATCGCACAACAGACTCATTAAAAAAGTTCTATGAAAACATGAAAAAAGAGACAAGAAAAATGGCAGCACAAGAGAAGATGGAACTATTTAAAACTGGTGGTGGAAGACCAACATACAAAGTACTAGATCCAATGCACGATTCTATCTTAACATTAATGAACAGTAAAACAGTCAAAGGTAATTGCTTCAAATTGATTCTTTTATAATATAATTATTTTTAAAAATAAGAACAGCTACAAGCCAAGAAACATCATAAAGTAAGTAAAAGATTAAAATAAACACATGTAGTAGCTAATAAAATAAAGGCGTTATTGTTACGCCTTTATTTTTTTATTTGTACTCGCGAGCAACGGCACAACTTCGTCGCGTGTTCTCGGTACTCAAAGTATGCAAAAGTATCTTCTCTCCCTCGGTAGCAGAATTTTGCGACAGCCAGGCGGTTTTTCGGCCAAAATTATAATTCTTATTCTAAGTTGGGCGCCAGGCACGAGAGAGCGTGTCACTCCTTTCGAAATCTCCTCACTTTTGTCCGTAACGTTTTTGTCTTATTGTTACGTATATTATTTGTTACGCCAAATTTGTAACCGTACTCGCGAGCAACGGCACAACTTCGTCGCGTGTTCTCGGTACTCAAAGTATGCAAAAGTATCTTCTCTCCCTCGGTAGCAGAATTTTGCGACAGCCAGGCGGTTTTTCGGCCAAAATTATAATTCTTATTTTAAGTTGGGCGCCAGGCACGAGAGAGCGTGCCACTCCTTTCGAAATCTCCTCACTTTTGCCCGTAACGTTTTCGCGACGGCAGAGGGTGGGTCACAAGAGGCGTGGGAAATTTGTCGGAGGGCGAGAGAGATAGGCCACAAGAATAAACCACGCGAAAGCGTAACAATAAGAACAATTATATTTGAAAAGAATGTAATGAAGCAAATATGATATATTACAGTAGTGAAGCAATTACAAGTACTCTCCGGGGCTTCGCCCCTCCGCTCTGCTCGATACTCTTGGTACTCGCACAGAGAGCCGCTAACTTAATCCTAACGCCGAGGGAGAGAGTCGTCTCCTTCATAGTTTCTTTTCTTTGTTCTACCCCCCTACTGTGGGTTTAAACTCCGCGGCACATGGCTAAGCCGCTGTTCATTGTCTTGTTGTCGTCTGTACGGTTCACATCTTTCCGCAAAGTGTGCTTGATGTCAATGTGCTTATTACTTACGGTATCTTCTTGATACATTCAATCGACTTATTTATAATATTTTTTATTTCTGACCAAACCATGATATTATGTGACTAAGCATCCATTTTGAAGGTATTTTTATTTTTTGTTAAGATTTCTTAAAAATTTTATATGCCATTTACTTTCTGACGTTGCCGTTATATTGACTTTTTAGCTTTTCACGATTCACACTTTCATTAAAGTTTGTTTATTTGTTGCCACATTGTGAATTTATTTAGATAATAGGTTTTAATTTTTATCTCTTATTTTTATGCGTTCGGTACTTTATTACATTGCGAATTTTTAACTTAACTGTTTTAATTGTTACATTCTGTACGTTGTTTTGTTTTGGTTAGAATTTATCTTTACGCATTAGGAGGTTTTTGACGGCTGATTGCTTACGTGTTTAAACCGAATTATGAAGATTACCGAAATTACTGTATAAGGACTTGGACTTGCTTGAAGATTTTTGCGTCTCTAACCGGATTGCGTAGATCAATTACAATGTTATTTAAGGACTATGACCATTAAGGGCAATTTTTATGATCAGTAAGGAACAACGGTGAAGATGGAGGATTATTGAATGGAGCATGTTTTGACTATAGTGGTTTTTATTATATATTTTTTAACTCATTACCATTTATATGATTAATACACGTGCGATTTTATTTGTCTTCCGGTTTTAATTTATACTTTGAAAATGACCGAAATACAGTTGAAACGATCGTTAGGTATTTTTGTTAGGCATTATTGTTAGTATTAATTTTGAAATATATTTATTTTGCTAGCTACTACATGTGTTTATTTTAAGCTTTTACTTACTTTATGATGTTTCTTGGCTTGTAGCTGTTCTTATTTTTATTGTTGTTATTTATATTGAGCCATTCTTCATTACATATATAATTATTTTTATATCTAACAAATGTACTTTCTTTATATAGGGCTTAATAATATGTTTGATTCTGATACAATAATACTTGATTCTGATTCAACAAACATACTTACCTCCGTTTCCAGTGCAAATAACACACTTGACAGTGTGACTAACAGTACTATGGATCACAACATTGAATTAGACTCAAATACGGAAGAATGTTGTATGTATGAAGTACTAGAGGAAGATTATTCTAAGGAAATGAATAATACACACACAACATATAATATAGATGTTGTAAGTTTTAGTGAATGAAACAATTAGTCTATATTTTATAGTGTACCTAAATCTATATTATTATGTGGTTGAATTTGGAGCGATCCTGGAGCGAAAATTAAAGGTGACCACACACAGAAATAACAGACAATAGAAAATCACGCATATATACATGTGTCCAAAAATTTCAAATGTACGTCCAGTTTCAAAGGAAGATTGCAGTCCGCGAAGGGAACCGAATGAATAAAAAATCTTGCAAGACCTTTCGTACATGCGACCAAAAATTATCTTCTTCGTCCCCGCGTCCTGTGGGAAAATCTAAAAGAACGAGATCGATGTCTGACGATAAAAAAAAAATAATTCGAAGAGATAACGGTCTCGAAAGCTCTTCAAATAATGCAAACTCCGCGTTATCGCTCGTAATTGCGCTCGAAAATTTCCTACGCTTGTCCCAGAGATTGGAACCCAAATTTTAAAGTTCTAGTGTAATGTCTGACAAGGGACCATCTCGGTTTGTACAACAAGTTATTGAAAATGCTTGATATCAGCGAAAGTTGATAACATAAGATGCAAATAAGGAAAATGGCGGG